AAAAAAAAAAAAAGAAAAAAAAAGAAAAAGAAAACCCACAAAAAACAACAACAAAAAAACAAACAAATAAATAATATGTACAAACGTGAAAGCATGTCACTTGTGAAAGAAGCGATGAGAGAAAAGTCTGGAGGGGTAGGCGTAGGTGTGATGTAGAGAGACAAGGACATCATGGTAAGCAATCTGGACTTTGTGGATTGCTATGGTTAGAATGTGTTAGAAACTGAGTCCCCAAATTCATACATTTAATGGTATTTAGAGGTGGGGCATTTGGAGGAAATTAGGGTTACACAAAGTTATATTGTACAGTAATGGCAGCAACAGCTTGATAAGAGGAAGGGAAAGCTGAGCTTGCCGCGTGATGCCCTCTGTCATGTTACAATGCAGCAAGAAGGCCCCCACCAACCTCCTATCCTGCAGAAGCACGAGCCACATCAATCTCTTTCTCTCTCACACATTCTGTAGTATTTATTCAATTATTGCAGCAGAATATGGACTAAAGACATTGATAATGGATAGACCATGAAAGTATGTAAGCAAGAAAATGATTTGGCAACTTGGAGTTCTTTGGTGACCTTTGAGAGACCAGTCCCAGGAAAATTATGAGTGTAGAAGCAGAATTGAAAGGGTTGAGGAGTGATGTAAGGAGAAAATGAGAAGGGAGTTTGATCTGAAGAAGACACTATCTATTCCCCCAAAAGCAATGCCTCTAAATAGAAGGTTGAATTTTCTCTCTGACACTAGAATTTCAGAAAAGTTAGAAAAACAATTAAGGTCACATCGTCTTCCCAAAGTTTAGAGAATAACTTCTAATGTGAAAGGTCCTAAATGTACCAGACCAAATAAGTTAATCCAAAGTGATTCTGATCAAAGCTTTCACTTCTCAACTTCACTTCCTAGCAGCCCATCCTGAGATTTGGCCTCCCCCGGGGAAACTGATGTCACTGTCACACATGGCTTTGCTGGAGACTTACTCTAACACTATTCTTGTCCTCATAGTGCAAATACTGGGGTGGGGGCAGGAACAGAGTGAAGCTGGGCTCCCACAGTTGAATATGCTCCTCTGGAGAAGCCTTTGGGTCCAGAGATTCTATTCATCCCTCTTGCCTGAGTGTTGGCAACTCCTGCTTTGCATGAGTCAGGATGTGGGAATGGAACCTTGTAGAGTCAAATTACAAATGTGGCAGGACTGTATTCTCCAGAAGAGTGATCCTGATTAGAACAACTATAGGTTTATATCTTGGTTTAGAGCAGATTTTTTTTCAAGTCTATCCCTAATGGCCTCCTAGTTAATTCCTCAGATGATTTAACAACCTGAAATGATTTAATTCCCTTGGAGTTCGGGAAGTGGAAACTTCTCCCTCTTAAAAAGAATATATTAAAAAAAAATTAATCACGGGTTTTCCAAGGGCAACTTTGACTTTCCCAGAAAGGCAGCTGCTGGCCTGGCAGTCAGCTGTGCCCTAGCCTGAGGGCAGGCACTGGCAGGAGTCCCTGGTCTTTGAGTCCGTCTTACCTTTTGCTGATGCGGTAATCCACTTGTAATTGCTTTTCCCCTGACGCCACCACTGATCTCTGGAGCTGGGGTAAGAACACAGGACAAAATCCAAGTGGTTAAAATGCAAAGAGAAGAGCTGTCTGCACACATGCCCCTCTTTGAAGCATAAACACAACTGCCAGGTCCTCCCTCATTAAAGGATATTCTGTACATGATGGCCATTGATCTTGACAATAAAAATATAATAAGTGATCAAAGATATTAGGGTTGAAAGTAACCTTTACTGTAAGTCTTAGATGTAGATGGTAGACACTCAATAAAGTTTGTTGAACTAAAATAAACCGGTATTTGAATCTCTTTGGTATCTGCAAGACTGAGGTAATTTCTCCTCTCTGTGCCACAGGGTTACTCACAGGGCCTGATTATAAGCAGCCCTTGGTGTTGCTTTAATTAAATAAACATCTCCAACAATAGGAAAATCTGTGCTCAGAGACAGCCTGCTCCTTTTAAACACTTCTGGCCAAATCCCTTCCTTAAAAAGAATCACAATTGGTTTTGCTACAACTGCCTTGATATGAAAGAACTACAATAGGTCTGAAGTTACTAATTTAGCAGAATGTCTATTTTGTTGTGAGTGTTTGGATATAGCATTTAAATTATTTTTGTAACAAGTACCTATTTATTGCAAAATCACCATACTAGGGACAGAAAGATTATTTGTATGAGGATGTGTCTACCTCTGGCTCCATCATCAGATTGGCAGCACCCTGAGGGCCGGGACTCGGTCTGGTCTCAGGGCTGTATCACCACAGTGCAGAGAAGGCCTGGCAGGGATTAGGTGCTCAGTGCTGGTTAAACGAATGAATGAAACAGGGCCCTGGGATGAAAGGTGCTGCTGGGACTCAAACTCCACCCTGGTACTTCCCAGGCAGTCAGCCTCAGCCCAGGGTAATGAATTACACGACACAGAAACCCTGACTTTCTCTAAAGCTTCTTTAAGATCACTGTTCCTGCTGTCAATCCAGTCTTTCAATATTGGAAAAGCCTATTTCTTTTCCTTGGACCCATTTCTCTGTCTATAAAATGCAATGCACGAACATGTTCTTGGGACTTCCTCTCAGCCTCTTGTTCTGCATTATTAGGATGCTGGAAATCAGGAGACTGATATTGGCTGTATTTATCCTTCACCAATTTTTCCTGGCATCCTCTCCCAAGTAATTTATAGAGAGACAATCCCATCTTTTATTTTAGGGCAAAATCAATGACCAAAAAATAAAAAAAATCTTAGGGAATAACCCCTCCTAAAGTAAGGAGCTACTTTATATCTAATTCCTTTAACAATCATTTCATTGTCTACCTATAAGCCATTTATTATTTTTTGGAGCAAACATCATATTTATTGGTTGTTTTCTGTGCTAAGTACTGTGCTAGGCGTTAGAAAAACAATACAAATCCCTACCTGTAAGTTATTCAGCAGCCACACGGGCAAGTACAGGGTGCTATGAAAACAGAGAAGGGAGCTCAGCTCATCCTTATGAAGAACACAAAGACTTCCCAGGATGTCCACAAGACTTACCTGATACAGGCAAAGAGGTCCAGGGTAGAGGGTTCTAGACAGAAAGAAGTGAAACGGCATAGACCATTCCCAGAAAACAAAGCTGTGGCTATAGTGTCGAGTGCAAGGGGGAGATGTGGCAGAGAAGCCATACCATGAAGCTTTGCAAGCATTAAGGGCCAAAGTGACCCATTACAAAATTTAAGTAAGGGATTTAGAAGGTCAAATTTGACGTTTTAAAGATTACTCTGGCTGGTTGCAGTGGTACTTGCCTATATCCCAGCACTCAGGAGGCTGAGACAGAAGAATCATTTCAACCCAGAGGATCCAGAACAGATCAGCCCGGGCAATACAGCAAGTCTTCAACTCAAAAAAAGATTATTCTGGCTGGGACAAGCACAACACAGGGCAAGGCATTTAAAGAAAGATATGATGCCAGCTAGTTTACACTGTATTCATGGAATAGCCAGTTATACTGGAACAATACATAAATAGCAGAGTAAATTTAGAAATCAAATGCCACACACAGACTATTAGAAAAGAAGAAGGGCATTAGAGGAAGGAGGAGGAGAGGTTAAGGCATGTTTATAGGGAGATGGAAAATCATTTTATTATGTATGAAAATGCTGCAAGGAAACCAGTTACTTTGTATAACAATAAGATGAAAAGAACAAAATTATGCAACCACATAACTGGCAACAAAATCTCTGAGTTCAGAGGAGGAATAGGTTGATTTGTGTGGCTCCAAAAAAGTGTCCTGGAAAACATGATCACTCAAAAAACAGTGAAAGTAGGCCAGAATAGTCAGGAAAATAGGTCCAAAGGATGCCTGGAGTTTTAACTGAGCCTTCAAAGATGGGTAGGATGTGGGAGTGGGGGAGGAGGAAAAAGGGGGGAGGGAGAGGGAAAGATAGATAGAGAGAGAGAGAGAGAGAGAGAGAAGAGATCTGGGAGAGGGTGAACGGGATAAGAAGCAGACAGATTCAACAGGAGCCCTGGAGGCGGCTGTGCTCTGTCATTGGTAACTACTCCATGTAAACCCCGGGGTTATTCCTGGAAGAACCAAAAGTCAGACAGGCTGCAGCAACCCCAGGGAGACACTTCTGGGGGAAGGGAGTATGGCAAGGCCTTCGCATGCCATACAGATGACCTGGACATAAAGGAATCAAAGGACATGGCGGGGGGAGGGCCTGTCCCATCACCATGGCAACAGAGCTGTTCTGAGGAAAAAGCTGTTGCTAGCCAAATATGGCTGCTGGCTCCCTGAGAAGTGGATGCTGTTGAAAACACACTGTCCCATCACCCACGGAGCTTAATCAACTCAAAACCTTCCGTACCAAGATTCTAGACTTGCCTGGAAAAGCTCATGGATGAAATTATTGCTGTTCTTCTCCCTCCAATCCATGTCTGCTGTCAGACTTCCTTAAAATTACATATCTAATCATGCTCCTTGCCAGTCAGACTGTCCCAAGCTCTCCCCTGGGATAAAATCCAAATGCCCAGCATGGCACATATGGCCTTTGTTAGTGGGGGCTCACTCTGAGCCTTGTCAACCTTTGTCCTCTCTCTACCCCATCCTAGGCACACTTCACCCACCACATGCCAGGCCCTTAAGCTATGGCTTCGTCTTTCTAGAGTACCGTTTGCCAGTTGGTTCAGCAGATGGCTTTCACCCCACAGTGGAGCCTGCTACCTCCTCTCCCCGCAGCGGTCTTCTCTTCAGAGAAAGGCTCACATTCTCATGGCACCACAGCACAACTCTGTGCATACCTCTTACGGGGTGTGAATCACAGTGTGTTGTAAATATCTGCTCTCCCCTTTCAGTAGGCACCAAAAGGGAAAGGGGCGATACGTCATCTCTCTGTGAAACCCCAGCACTGATCATAGCGTCTGGCATGAGCAGGCTGTGTTCCACTGAAGATGAACAAATATCCACCCAGATGAAACAGCACATATTAAGGTTGTGCCATCCAGGTGGACATAAATAATTCTGAGACAGAATTAATGGGCCATTTTAATTTTTCTGCAGTTCTAGGACTCAAACCAGAGTCTTGTACATGCTAGGCAAGTACTCTCGCAATGAGATACACTCCCATCCCAATGTGCCGCTTTTAAAGAGACAACAGGTTTGTAGAGATGATTTTTTTTTCTAAATATTACCACAATTTCCTAAGGAAGTCATGAAATGTCCCCTTCAACTGGTATCAAGCTTGGCTTGGTGCCCCGTGGAAGGACAGACAGACTGCCTGTAGTGGTAGCCACAGACTTGACTTTAACTAATGACATGTGAGTGGAAGTAACGTCTGCCATTTCAAGCAGACGCTTTAAAAGCCAGCTGGCATTTGCTATCTCTGTCTTTTTCCTCTCTCATAAGACTGGCAAAGTCTCAAACAGAGGCTGTTGTGTCAGACGTGGCTCCACAGTAGAGACAGCGTAGGGCAGAGCTACACTAACTTCTAAGTTTCTGTTGTGACTCTAGCTCCACATGACCGTAATCAAACCCATTCCTTTAATCAACCATTTCACATGGTTGACATTTTAGGAAGCTTCCTTTGTATTTTTTGAAGTTAAATTTTCATGCAATGATATGCACAGGTCTCAAGCATTTACATTTGCTAAGTACCCCCCACCCCACCCCTGCACCCCGATACCAGGGATTGAACTCAGGACCTTGTGCTTGTGAGGCATGCAGGGCACCACTGAACTAAATCCCCAGCCCTACATTTGCTGAGTTTTGACAAATGCATACAGCCATGTACTCCACAGACTTAAGAAGATACTGAGAGCATATTTTTAATATCCCAGAAAAATCCCTTGGTACCTCATCTCAATTAATCCTTTTCCTCCATAGGCAACCACTGTTGTGATTTTCTCCACCATAGAGATCTAAGGAATGGCTGGAATTTTGAGCTCCTGGGCTGACTGATAAAACTGTGTAGGCTGCCTATTCTCACCCTGAAGTCCAGACACACGAAGCTCTGGGAACACTCACCCATGGTTCTGCGAGCTCTCGAATTTTCTGAGCTTCTGAGTCACTGACAAAGTCATGGTAGAGAGCAACATAGGGCTCCAGGTGGATGACCTCCTTCCGGACCGGCTGAAGCAGCAGATAGGGGCTAGAATTGGTCTCATAGGAGCAATAGAGGCTTGGGATCTGGTAGTGAATGGGCTGGAAGGGCAGAGGAGAATCGGCATAAGAAAGAAGGGTCTAGCAGCTCAGGGGATCTACAGCATAAAAAGACCAGAATGTGAGAGATATAGAATGTGGTTACTCAGATGCTGCCCAAAAGAACATTATTGTTTTCAATGCATCAGCTTTTCCCCCTTCCACTGTTCCAATTCCAGCTTCTCCCTTGCTAGCCAAGCCTGTCCTCCCTCTTTCTCTTTCCCTGTGGAATCCTACCTGAGAACCCAGGGTCTGACATAAGCCCTCATACATGTCTCTGGTTTGCAGGTGGGGCACGTTGGGCCTCTGGATGACAGTCTCAGCTACTGCTTGGTGAGGGCTCTCTGCCAAGAGCCTTTCATACTTCAACACATTCCTGACCATCCTCTTATTTTCTGGGCCTGGGGGAAATCAGAGCACAGAATAATACAGGCTAACAGACTGTAGCCCTATGAAGTGCTATCAAGACTTCCTACAACTGTATTGTCACACAGGTCTGGCAAATGAATACGCTGAAAAACTCCTCATATCAATGCCCTCATTTCCAGAAGAATATCTGGTATAAAAGAAGACTGACTGACTGTTGGGTGTGGTGGCACACGCCTGTAATCCGAGCACTCTGGAGGCTGAGACAGGAGGATTGCAGTGAGTTCGAGACCAGCCTGGGCTACACAGTGAGTTCCAGGTCGGTCTCAACTACACAGTGAGACCCTGTCTCAAAACAAACAAACAAACAAAAAAAAAACTAATTGGTGGACTGGAAGGTATAAAGAGCTTTGGGAAGGAAAGTTGAATTTAACACTTTTAGGCCATGGGACCATGAGGATGTTCAATAAATATCTTGTATATATCAGATATGGCACTAAAGGATAACTTCCCAGAGTTTAGAGTCTAATGATCAGCTGGAAGAAAACATGCTAAGTAAATGCCATGAAAAGAAGTTTGCAGAGACCAAGCCTGTAGCACAAAGACCCAAATTATTCTTTCTTGGAGAATTGGAAGCTAATTCTTTCTCCGCTGCACTAGATCCTTCAAAATTTCTAACTGGCCTAGACATACAACAGAACAGTATGGGACAAAGGGATTGTAGATCTTGGTTCTTGTGCCCACCTGTTTGTGCCAGTTTGGCTACAAGTTGGATCTCTGTGCATGATTCTCAGTGCTTCTCCAAAGGAGGTGCTCAATTGTTCTAATGCTGTCAAGGTAGCTGAGGAGCCCAATGTGATTCTAACCATACCACCACCACCCTGGCAAGAGGAGAGGAGGGAGCAGAAATTACTGCTCCTTTCTAACGAAAGGAGAAATAAAGTTTTGGAGAATGGCAATGGAAAGTCCAAACACCGATGAAAATATTGTAAAGCTAGAATGAACCTCAATTTTTCATGCTGTACTTCACCAAACTGTGATGGCATACAACTTGGGTCCCATGGGAGGGATGGATTTTAATAGATCAACTACAAAGAAATAAAGAAGAGTCGAGTTTTAATTTTGTTTATACTACTAATCACTCATGTGTTTCCAAACTATGCAGCAACTTTCATATCCTACTGTTTGCTAAATTAGTGGAAAGGAATAATGTTAGAATTGTTCCTCAATATCCAGGAGGGACCTATGTATACCAAAATACCTAATGTAGTGGAAATGTGATGTAAATAGTCATTATAATATATTTTTCATGGAAAATGCAATAAAAAAAGTCTACACACATTCAGTACAGATGCAATGTTTTTGGCAAATATTTTTGATCCAAAATTCACAGATACAAAACTCACAGATATGGTGGGCTGACTGTACTAAAGTTAGAATAGTTATAAAGTCCTATTATGTAGCATAAGTCCTAATATATTATAAATATTAAGACAATTAAAATACTAGTGTTTTGTACCTTATTTTAATATTTAAACACTTTATTGAGTCAAAATCTATGGAGCCACCTACCACCAAAATTTTAAACAAAACTCAGCTAGGAATCATCTCCCTCTAGTTTAAGGCATTTTGTTGTTAGTAAGTCACTCCTCAAAAGGGGCTAAAGCTGAACTCTGCAGTCAACTGGCATAGCAAAGTAAGCTTCAGTTTTATAGGAAGATAGCTCTCTGAAAACAGCCAAAATGAATTGTACACACAGAGAACCTTGATTTCATGCATCCCTGTGCATACTTCCAAAGCCCAGGTCTTTAAAATGTCTCTGATTAACAGGCTCCCAACCTGGACTTGTTCCCACTGAAGGAACAAGTTGGGGAGGGACAGGTTGATATCTTCTCCACATTGTCCATCTAATCATCTGTGATGTATTGATCTGCATATAACTAAGGCTTCACCCAAAATTTGAACTATGCCTTGGACTATGAATTATAATAATAAAATTAAATATTTATATTTTACTTGAACGAATTAAATGCCAGAAGCATAAGTCAGACCCATGGCCATCTTATCTTTTATTATCACTTACTGTAGAGAAGAAACTCTCGGGAGAGGCTGAGAGCACATGAAACATTTCCTGCCTTATTAAAAAAGAAAAAGAAAAGAAAGCATTAACAACACTGAGGATATTGCCTCCGACCAAATCACTGACTGAATTTTATAAACGCAAACTATGCTCTTACCACAAGTAGATACTAAAGCTCACTGAAAAGAGCAGCAGACTAGACATGTAGAGGATTTAGGGCCCCGCTGCAAATCAGCTCTCTTTTGTCTCATTTACAAATGACTTAGTACCACCCTGCCCAGGAAAATAACAGTAATCTAATAAACATTAAATTTAATAAACATTAAACATTTACTCAATAGAAAAATAAAAATGAACATTCTTGAAGTGCTCCTAAGTCTCAAAGTGAGCAAAACCATATAGTTATAAGAGGTTGTGATATTTTGTTATGAAATTTAAATGAAACTATAAAATTCTTGTAAAAATACAATTTGTTCCCCAGACTCAGTACTTTCTAGAGAAAGAACTTTGAATAATACATGATTTTTACATAGTTACAATCATATTTTTTTTACATTTTCATATCCTGATTATTTTACTCTATTGTTATCAGAATTTTAAATTTTATTTTGTTCTTTTGCTTTTTATGGTACTAGGGATTGAACCCAGGACTTTGCACTAATTCACATCTCAGCCTTTTAAAATTTTATATTTGCAATTTGAGCCAAGGTCTTGCTGTCTCTAAGTTGCCCAGGGTAGGCTCAAATTTGTGATCCTTCTGCCTTAGTCTCAAAGAGTGCTGGGATTACAGCGTATGCCCCCATGCTCAGCTTCATAATGGTTTCTATATTAATACAAAATCTTTGCAGATAGCATTTTTTGTGGCTGTATTTTATTCCATCCAGAAACTACATTATAGATGACAAACATCTCACTATTGTTGGGAGCAGAGATTATTTCCAATTATTTATTATCATGAATTATTATGCTCTATACTTTGCAGAAGTGATCTCTGACTATCTTGCATTGCCAAATATTAACTCAGAGTGTGATAGCTTTTCACACTCTGAGATGGAGAGAATTAAAACACAATTTTACATAGATTTAAAGCTCAAGAGCTTTATAGTAATATTATATTTTATGAAGAACAAGGAGTTCCTTTTGGTTCCCAGTTAAATTTCTTTGGAAATATACACATTAAGTAACATTAGCTAAGTGTGGTAATGCACATCTGTAACCCCAGCACTCTGGGTAGCTGAGGCAGGAATATCACAAGTTTGAGCCCAGTGTGAGCAATTTAAGAGACTTAGTAAAACCCTGACTTAAAATAAAAACAATTTTAAAAGGTTGGGGATGCATCTTAGGGCAAAGGCTCTGGATTCAATCCCCAGTATCAAAGAAAGCCACATTAAATGGAAAAGGAGAGCACACGTTTATACAACAACAGCTTACACTTACTAGTGCATGGTGTGTGACACGTGTCAAAAGCTCTGCATGGATTAGCTCATTTAATCTTCACAGCAACGCTTTGAGATAAGCAGCCTTGTTATTCTCCTTTTACAGATAAGAAAATTGAGGCCCAGGGAAGTCAAGCAAGTCACCAGGTTTTCACGGAATTTGAGCCTTGCTCTGTGTGATTTCTGAACCTCTGGTTTAATCACCATCCTCTACTGTCTCTCATTATCAGCAGCTCCTAAACACTCTTTTACTAAAATATGTTATGAAGAAATCTATTACATTTTATACAATAACAAAAAAATCCACGAAAGGACATTTACTTCTTTAATTTACTGGGAGAAAGGGAAGAGATAAATAAATCATCTATGAGGTAAAATCTTATATGTTTTATTACTTTGGCATTAAAAAAAAAGTGCACTGTGAGAGCATATAGAAAAAGCTACACAAAGTGGGTAACGTTCGAGCTGGCCCTACTCTGGGAAATAGAATCTTGCCAGGCAAAGCACCTCTGAAAGGAGAGTCTACCAATGAGCAGAGGAGAAATTTGTCACAAGAGTTAGGAAGAAACAAAACAAAACTAATAAGAAAGCACCATATTTAAAACCTTATCTTTATGGGGTAAGCTGCTTTAACTAGTCTACCTTTTCTGAGCCTCTGTACATCAATTCTCCTTTTTCTTCCCTGTTAAAACTCAATCTCTTCTCATTGTCACATTACAGTTATTCTGTTTTTGCTCTGCTGTGTAGCAATGGGGCAGGAGAGTTAGAAAAAGTTCGCTTTATGACAGATCCATTTACTGAAACTTTCATGGAAGGAAAAGGACTGCACTTGAGCATAAATCTGTTCTCCCAGCAATAAGTGGATTTGGAACACCCATATCCTCCTTTTTCTCAGGACAAGGGGGAAAGAAAAAGGAACTTGGAGGCGGGTATGTAGCTCAGTGGTAAAATGCTTGTCCAGCATACCCTAGATTTGGTCCCCAGTACAGGAAGGTAAAAAAGGGAATAAAAATGGTTTATTAGCATTGGAAACTCAAATGCCCAACTAAATTGGATCAGCATAGTTGTGGGTGTGGCTGAAGGCATTTACTAAAGACTGAAGACCCACCTTGGGTGTGAGTGACCCTAACCAATAGGCTTTTCACCCAAATGGAATAAAAGGGAAACAAAGAAGGAAGGTTTGCTTCTGTTTCTTTGCAGGAGCTCTAGTCTTCACCTTCACCTGGAATGTTGTATCCTGGCTTTGACCCTTCAGCCTTCCACTGCAGACCCTTCAGCCTCCTGATATGGACTTGTGTAGGCTACAGTGAGCTCTAGGCCTTTGACTGGATCCTTCAGATCTCCAGTACTCAAAGACAGTCCTTTGGCGCCTTTCCACACCTGATTCTGGGGGTGGCCACTGTAAGCCAATCTTGTAATTTATTATGTATTTGTAGATCTTACATTAGATCTCTTTCTCCAGTAAGCACTGACTGATACATCAGGGAACTGGCTTCACAGCCTATTCTTGAAGAAGGTACAATTCTAGTGGAGAATGGAATCATCAGCACAAGGGGAGGGCAGCTGTTTAATCTTCAGGGAATGAACTGCCATGGGAAGCACAGTAGGTAGTAGGTCAACAGTGTCAAGAAAAGATGACACCTGCAGGAGGCACGGAGGCTGCAACTATGGCTCAGTGACATAATCAGATTTCTTCGTCCATGGCACTATCTGTGAAGAGTTATCAGTTGTCGACAGTGCAAATGGGTGACTTACAATTATGATGACCTTGTTAAAGATTTGTGGATCCAGACGCTGTTGCTATAGGTAAGAGACTTGTCTTGGGTTCTAAGACCAGTTCTATGAACTTTGTGATAACTCAAGAATTTTTTTGGAGACTCCATTTACTCATATTAATATATATGGAAATAATAAAATAACTTCCCTCACATTTGGGCAGATGAAACAGATTAAGAGGCATGAGAATGCTTAGAAAGTTATAAAACAGATGTAAAGCACCAGGCATGGTGGCACATGCCTATTATCCCAGCACTTGGGAGGCTGAGGCAGGAGGATCACTGTGAGTTCGAGACCAGTTTAGGCTACATAGTGAGTTTCATGTCAGTCTCAACTACATAGTGAGACCCTGTCTCAAACAACAACAACAACAAAACCCAAACCCAAAACAAACAAACAAAAAGATGTAAAGCATTACATTTGTGATAACGAAGCAGTGAGCTTCACTTACTTCCCTACCTGGAAACAGGCAAAGGCCAAATGATCCAAGGCGTCTTCTAGACTTGCCTCATCCTCTGTCTTCCACTCTCCATAAGATACTCTGAAGAGACTGACAGCCTCCTCCAGCCATGGAATGGCATGGTAGTAATCTCCCATGTCATAGGCCACCTGCAGGGAATACAGTACACCACGCTAAAATCTCAGCCCATCGCCAGGGGAAAGGACACGATAATTCAGAGTAACAGGGCCTTTGGAACCCAAGAATGTATGTCCTCAAAATTCACTTTTTTTTCCAATTTATTAAGCACCTATTAATAAGGCATTCTATTACATGGAGAGAAGACACAAGAGTTCTTGCACTTATGAAGCAATTCTAATTTGAGAGAGAAGACAGACATGAACTCAAGTAACTATAACATGGGGCAGTGCAGCAAAAGTGCTTAAAAGAATATGCTGTGGAGGCATAGAAAAGGGAAGAGACTTGGGAATCTCAGTGGATGTCACTGAAAGTGTGGCATCTGGGATGGGCCTTTCTTTTTCTTTTTTTTTTTTTTTCTTTTTTGGTTTTTTGAGACAAGGTCTCACTACTTAGTTTTGAGTCTGACCTGGAACTCACTATGTAGCTCAGGCTGGTTTTGAACTCACAGCGTGTACCACCACGCCCAGCAAGGGATGGGCCTTTCTTGAAGAAGGAAAAAGGATTTAAGTAAGCAAAGATAGGGAGGAAGTGCATTTTAAAATGAAGGAATGGTAGGCTGGGCGTGGTGGCACACGCCTGTAATCCCAGCACTCGGGAGGCTGAGGCAGGGGGATTGCTGTGAATTCGAGACCAATTTGGGCTACATAGTGAGTTCCAGGGCAGTCTCAACTACATAGTGAGACCTTGTCTCAAACACACACACACACAAAAGCAAACAAGCAAAACCACAAAAAGATGAAAGAATGGCATAAAAGGAAGCCAAAAGCAAGAATATGTTCATGTAATCCATTGGGGCTGTAAACTAAAGTGAAGAAAATGAACCTTGAAAGAGAACATAGACTAGCCTAATTACAGTCTTGAACGTCATGCTTTTAGGAAGATATTACTGGTAACAATTCATTCATTTACTCAATATTTGCTCAGTGTTTTGTACCTGGTGGTCCTTGTCCTTGAAGACCCTGAATCAAGTGAGGACACATGAAGAATGCAGTCACTATAACATAGTGCATTAGTCACCATAACGAAGGCAGACATGGGAATGCTGTGGGAGCCTGGTGCATCTGTTCTGTTTGTTTGTTTGTTTGTTTGTTGAGACAGGGTCTCACTATGTAGTTGAGGCTGACCTGGAACTCACTATGTAGCCCAGGCTGGTCTCGAACTGACAGCGATCCTCCTGTCTCAGCCTCCCGAGTGCTGGGATTACAGGCGTGTGCCACCACGCCTGGCAGCATCTGTTCTGATTAAATATCAGAATGCAGGGCAACACGTACCAGACATGACTCCTGTCTCCTAATAGTTTATAGTTAACTAGAATACCATACCTGCAGGTGCAATCACTGGAAATTAATGCTGGAACCAACATGGAACTATAAAATCACGGAGTTGGGAGAGCTCTTACAGAATGATCTAATTCCAGTGTAACTTCCAGACAGGGCAGACCTAGATACCAGAACTCTGCAGCCTAAATAATAAAGTAACTCCTATTAAATGAAGCTGCCTCAAGTTATCCATTTGTAAAAAGGTTGAGCTGAATAATAATAAGAAATGAGAGAACTTTTCCTATTTAATCTGCTTCCCCCCCCCCATTCTGGAGAGTGAATCCAGGACCTTGTACCACGGAGCCACATCCCCATTTATTTAATTAATATTTCCTCAAAAAGCTTCAAGTAACAGCAATATAATACATTGAGGTAACCTGAATTCTTCCAAACATAAGTATTTAGACATTTGGAATGAGGTATAAATGGCATTTTATGATATATCTTCAAGAGGAAATGGAAAAATATCAGGCAATAGAAACAAAAATTAGCTGAAAACCCAAGCAATAAGCTTATGAGCAGATGCTGAAGCTGTAGAGCACTGAGGTGGGCATCTGTCGTTCTGACTTGGAGGATAAAATGCCCACATGAGAACAGAAGACCCCCTCACCAGACCTTCAAGTTGAGACTAAAACATCCTTATAAACTGGATCCCATGAAAAACTACACCTTAAGCAAAAGGGTAGACTAGGAAAATAATTATCCACTGGCTTAAGGAGACAAGAAAGCAGATTTGTTTCTGTCTGGTCTCTATGTAGAGAAATAAAATGTTACCTTGGAATGTTTACAGTTGTGAGGCTATGCTTCGTGTGAGTTTAGAGTTTGAATTTATAATATTCATATGGTCAAGGAATCACTGGGCCAATAAATCAGTATAAATATGGATCTAAGACCTATACCTATGTTCCTGGTAGAAGAAAATCTTAAACTCTGGAGGGATTTCCCGCAGCTCTGGGCACAGAGAGGTTCTGAGGGGAAGGGTAAGTGTGTATGTCTGGGGGATAACTTGCTGAAAATAAACTATAAATCAAACAAGATAAACTATATCAGAAAATAATCCATTATGAGAAGAATCAAGACAGCACTGTGCAGTAGTGGAATTAGACAAAAATCTCAGAAAACAGAAAGGCCAGTTTGCTTTAAAATAACCCATAGAGGGAGGGATTGGGTAAGTACTGGTGAAACAAATCTGGCCACATGTTTGTAATTATTGAAGTTTATTCTTCCACCTGGCAATTCTATTCACAGTACTCACCCAAGAGAAATGAAGACAAATGCTCACAGCACATACCTAAGAATGTTAATAGCAGCTTTATTTACAGTAGCCCACACTGGAAACAATCTAGGTATAAAAAATTAATGCTGGATAACACTGTGTAAAAATTGGATACTGCTCAGTAATAAAAAGGAATGAATACTAACAAATGCAACAGTGTGGATGAATTTAATAGATATTAATGTGCAGAGTAAAAGAAGCTTAATTCAAAACAGCATGTACTATGTGGTTTAGGATAATGGTAACTAGGCAAGGGTAGCATAGAAGGGGCAGAGAGGTGGGTAGTTAAGAGTGGGGCTTTAGCCATGCATGGTGGCACATGCCTTTAATCCCAGCACTTGGGAGGCTGAGACAGGAGGATTGCTGTGAGTTTGAGACCAGCCTGGGTTACATAGTGATTTCCAGGTCAGTCTCAACCACGCAGTGAGACCCTGTCTCAAAAAAACAAAACAACTCCTCCAAAACAAAAAACAAAACAAACAAACAAACAAAAAAAGTGGGGCTTTAAATGTATGTAACATCTTTTAAAAATTCTTTTTAAAAATCTAAAATATAGCAGAACTTGAACATATGTCACATTTCAATTATAAACATACTTTCTTGTTATTTTAGTATTTTTCTTACATTTAAATGTTTTAGCTTTCGATACAGGAAAATACACACAGAAAAAACGATTGCCAGCAAGACTTCTGGAAAGAGTTTAATGAATTTTCAACATATGGTTTTAGTTTCAGAAAGGTCTCACTGATGAAGACTGTTGGTACCATACCTCAGACTATTTTAACTGGCTTAAATTTATATTATCCATGAAAATAATGATGGCTAATTCTGCTCAACACCTCAGTAAGGGAGACCGGTATGTAGAGAAATTCAGGGCAATGAACTCTGAATTAATTTGGAAAACTGATCCCTAAAATTTGGAACCAGGACTTGTGAGGCCTACTCTCAGATCTGTTGATGAATATGGTAGAAGCCAAGAAAAATTCACTCTCCTACAATGTATATCTTCAAAATTAAATAAAGGAGAGAGATTTACTCCATTGCTTTCTAAGGCAAAGGGTTGGAAAAGAGTATATTATAATTACTTCAAGTGTGGCTTTAACTTATGACTGAAGATTAAATACATCATGTAGGAGGTTCCTGAAACCTGTTTCCTTGAGTAAAATTAAAGTGGATGGCTTCAGCATTTTTACACTCATTTAATTTAGTATTTCTGAAAACTTAGGAAACACTGCAGGGGTTTCCAGAAGGTCTCAGGAGCTGAATTTCTATGATCTTACCTTCACACCATCATCTCTTATCCTCTTCTCACACTCTTCCCTGCTTTCCTTTTCCATTCAGTGGTTCATCTTCTGGCAGGGGCTATAGTTAGGGCAACCAATGGATCATTTTACCTAGTTTATGTTTGTTGTCCTGGCATAATTAATAACATCTCTTTCACTCATAGGCTTTCCTAAGTATAAGATCACTTTCCCATGGAAAGGTGGTGGAATCTAGAGTTAAAAGACTAGGTTCAAAATTTAGTTTACTGCTTACAATTGTATAATTTTATTTATCTACCCTCTGAAGCTTAAGCTAAAAGTGAGAATAGCATCAAATTTCCAAGTTTACTGCCATCTATCTATCTATCTATCTATCTATCTATACACATACAATAGGGACATAGTTATTTCATCCATGAGAAACTAAGGCTGAGCAACTGACCCTCTGTGAATGTCATTACCTTGCCTACTTGGAAGCAGTCATCTGCTGTGAGTGAGAAGAGCCGCCTAGGACTGTATAGGTCAGTGACAGCAGAGCCAGTGACTCTCTGAAAGACACCCCGGGCAAGACCCTTTACATTGAGCATGTATACATCCTGCAGCCTCATCAGGGCCCGTGCTGCGCCCTCCAGGTCCTCAAAGGCAGGAAGTTCTTGCTCCACCTTCTCATAACCGTCCTTCAGAGCTGTAAAGGTAGTAAAAACATAATCTGTCCTTCAAAAGAACACATGGTAGAGTTGGGTGGGTAGCTCAGTGGTACAGCACTTGCTTAGCATGCATGAGGCCCTGGGTTTGGTCCCTATTGCACAAACACACACACAAACAGGTGGTGAGCATTTAAAATAAACAGGACATGACTACCTATCCAAACAGTTCACAAGATATTTCATTTTTCTTTTTGTTCAACCACAGTCGCTGGAACACAGTAGAGGAACATTCAGAATGAATGGATGGGGACTAAAAATAAGGCACATACTATTGTCCCATCCTGTATTCCTCCAGGAATCTTGCTCTTTAAGGAGACAACTCTTTCTCTTCACTTCTCAAAAGCCAACAAACTTGTTGAAGTACAAAGTAGAACATATTAGGAAAGTGATCTTACTAGATCACATTGTATTATCCCATTTTCAAATGAAAACCTTAATGAAATAGAAACTATTGGAATACCATTACCTTTTATACATAAATAGAAGGGATAATAATCCTGTACTTCTAATAGAATTGTAGTAAAGATCAAATAGGATAGTGGGTATGAAAGTCTTTACTAATCTATAATCATATAAACCTATTAGCAAGGGGATCTAATTGTTTGGATTTACAAGAGCTAAGATCACATAATACCTATCTACTCAACTAGCCTTCACCATATCCCGACAGAATCTCTCTCCTTAACACTGAGCTAGGAGATAGAAGCTTCTTTCTCACCCTCCAGCCCTCCTCCTCATTACCTCGGATGTTCTCACTGGCTTCCAGACTATGTACCACATTCCTCCAGTCAGACTGCAAGCGTTTGATGAGAGTAAAGGCAAGCAGAGGGTTAGCCACAGGGGTTGCTGGATCTTCATGCAAGGAAAGTACCTTGTCATAGAATCTGAAAGAGAGAAATATAATATTTTCACCTTCTGATACAATCATATACCTAAGGAAGCTGTCATGGTGTGCACACTTTGTGGATCATGATGAGGCATGCCTTTAATCCCAGCACTCAAGAGGCTGAGGCAGAAATACGTCAAATTTAAGGCCAGCATGGGTTACACAGTGAGTTCAAGGCTAGCCTGGACTACAAAGTAAGATCCTGTCTTAAAAAGCAGTATCAAAACAAAACACAAATGATTAGCTAAAATAGGTCTAGGAGGTGTAGCTCAGTGGTAAAACACTTGTCTAGCTCGCATGAAGCCTTGGGTTTGATCTCCATCACTGGGGAGTGGGGGATGGGGGAAGAACAGTTCAAATTTAAGGGCGAATTCTCCTGAGACTCATGAAATAATTTAAACAAACAGCCACATAAGCACAAAGAACATGAAAACTCAAATACAACAGAAGTGGGCTTACTCATTTGCTCGTTGAATAAGTCAGTGTACAACACACAATTACTGTATATCAGGCAACATGCTAGCGATGCAAGTACAAGACATGGTCCCGCTCCCATGGAGTTTACAAACGAGAACGTTTTTTTTTTTTCCTTGCTGTTTGTCATCCTATTTCCAATAGTTAGTGTCTGGTAGAAACTCAGAAACATTGTTGAATGAATTACGAGAATTACGAGAATTACGAGAATTTTGATACATGCTTTGATATGTAAGCATATAACACTATGGCAATTTGTAAGCAGGGCATATAACCCAAGTGGGTGCTGCAAGGAGAAAAGGAAGCTTTCCCAGAAGTGATGACACTTAAACTGATACTGAAAGCATTTGTTAGAATATTGATGGCTACTATTTATTGAGCCCTTTCCATGTATTGGCACCCTTAATTATACTGTCTCATTGATCCTCCCAACAGTCCTTAGTGCAGATTTTGTTTTATATTTTATTTTATTATTAATTGATTGATTGCAGTACTGGGCACTGAACCTTATATCCCCATTACTGAGTTATGTACCTAGTCCTTTTTATTTTGAGATAAGGTCTCTCTTAGTTGCTAAATTGTTCAGGCTGGCTTGAATTTGTGATCTTCCTGCCTCAGCCTCTCAAAGTATTGGGACTACAGGTGTGTACCACTGTGTCCAGCTAGTATAGATTTTATTTTGCCCATTTTCCAGGAGAAGAAACTGAAAGAAGGTCATATTGTTAGTAAATGGCAAAGCCAGGACTGAACTGAAGTCCACCTGACTCAGAAGCTTGAGTTCTCAGATGATTTGTCATCATGTTTTCCACAGAGATAAAACAAAGAAGGGAGGAAGAGTTTTTGTTTTTGAGCCAACAGAGACCAATGTGCACAAGAGAGCACAGATTAACATATATTTGCTTATTTAAAAAGCTAATCCATCCCAGTAACTTTTTATGTATTAGACTCCATATTGGGAACTGGAGATACAAAGTCAAGAAGGGGCCCAATGCACAAAGTTTGTGGACAAAAAAAGCAAACCAAACAAAATAAAACTAAACAATTTCTCATCATTCTGTACCTGAGTTCAATGTATGTATGAGAAAATGAATGAAATCTACTCTTCTAGGAACTGGTGACAGAATTTTGAATAAGACAATGTCTCAAGGACTCACAGTCCAGTGAATAAGGTAGATACAAACAGTTACATTACAGATGCAACACTAGATTAGATTTGAGAACAAGACCTAAGGGGCATTACAGAGAGGGTGTGGTTAATTTGGCCAGAGCAGGTTGGGAAGGTTTTAAGTAGAGGTGGGATTGCTATGACATGATTATACATATAGATCTGTGAGAGGGTGGGGAGGAGGATTCAGATGTGGAAGGGACTGGAGACAGAAAGACCAAAGGGGAGGCCACTTCACAACTGTAAGAAAGAGATGTGGAGAGTCTGAACCAGAACCGTGACCATGAGGGCACAGAATAGGATGGCTTTAAAGGAGACATGAGGAAACTGATAACGCAGAAACTAGTGATGACTGTAATGAATAAAGAGTGTGGTCACCTAGTTCATTTCCAGCTTTCCACCTTGGACATTTGCAGAAAAGGGCTGGAAATAGTCAGATCTAATGTGATCGTCTTTTTAGATAATTTCCCTCTTCCTCAAATACCCTGTAAAAGTGTGTGTATAGGCAAAAGAGGCTGATTTTTTTCCTAGTATACTATGGTTATTTCATTTCTATCACACTGATAGAATTTATATTATTGAAATGTATTCATTATGTTTAATAGGGCAGGTTAAGAGTACTAATCTTGTGCTGTAAATTTTTCCTCTTATCTAAAATTATTAATTTCAAAACAATATAATTACAACAAAAGAAGAGTGTAGGCAAGGTGAATACAGTATATAATGTATGAGAGAACACATAAGATTCTAAGTTTTTGTCAAAAGTGGGGGACTTCTGCAAGTAGAAAGGGACGAAAGAGAAAAACAGAGGGTGCAATAGGGGATCCAATCCCTTGATTCTGACCTGAGGATTTCCAAATAGTGGGGCTCTTGACTAAGAAAGAGAACCCGAAATAAAAGACTATTTATTTTGCAACTTCCAAGGAGCCAAATTTTCAATTTAACATAAATTAAAAACAAGAACTTGGGCCTGGGTGACCCAGGAAGGACACAGGAGGCCTGTAAGTCCCAGGATGCCTCTGATCCTAAAGACAGGGCAGTCTGTAAGCAGCTACCCTGGCATTTTGAAATTAAACCAGCCTGAAGAGTGTGGGATCTTTTTACTGCCTATTATTTCTTCACTTGATCTTAGCCAAAAGGCTGAGAAGCGATACTGCCCATTATTTCTTGCTCTTCAGCTCCATATGGAACTACTTAGTAAAAGATATTCCACTGCTAGATGAAAAAATGTACAAGCAGAGACTGTGCTGAATCTAAAAAAAAATAAATGTCCAGGAACAACTGAGGCTGAGTGGGCAGCGATTTTATAAGACAATTGGACAGGGAAGACCTGGGAGGGAGGAGCCTAAGACCTATTCTGACCCAGGTCCAATCAATACTCTGTTTCCCCTTCTGTAAATTGAAAAAAACTGGTCTCCTCTAGAAGCTATCCATGGGTTCTTTCAGCAGGTGCACTCTATTATTTCTTCCTCCCACCTTCTCTATGACTAAATAAATAGATCTCTTAGTACCTTAATAGACAGAGGCTTAACAGAGGAAACTGAGGCACATGGAAAAGAAGTAAGGCACAAAGGTTAATTCTTGTCCCAAATCACCCATCAAACCAAAAACACTATCTATAACTTTGTTCTCTTTGCATCCTACTTTGTATTCTGGGGTTGATTTGTTTAGGCCAACGGATTGATTTCTACTGCAGTATATCAACCCAATCCGGTGTTCAATGATGCCTTTTTTCCCTGTCACGTAAAAAAAAAAAGAGAAAAAGAAAATCTACTGACTGATATCTGAGACTACTTTGGAATCCAAAAGTTGGCCCTATGCCCAGCCTCTGAGCAAATAGCTGCCTTCCAGAGACTGAGTTATGAGATGCTGAATTTAAACCTCAAGGTTTCTTCAATGGCTTTTTGCTTTAACAAATGCTGCTGAGAGTGGAAAATTAGATCTTTTCCTTCAAGAATCTGCACATAAAATTCACAACACAATCTCTGTCTGGGTAGGTTATCCAACCACAAGACATGAACTATTTCAACTCAGAATGTTTTCTGTTAGTCTTTCTGAGACATTCTGAATGTTTAATTTTTAGCCCAGAAATAATTGTTGTTAATTCTACTCTTTGAACTTTTCACTCTTGGACTTTTGTTGTTATTATTACTATTATTTTGTAGTGCTAGGGATTGAACTCAGGGCTCTATACATACAAGTCAAGAGCTTTACTACTAAGCTACATCCCCAGATGCTCTATAGTTGTTAAATTTCAACAATAACAACTACAACAAAAAAGATAAAGGTTAACTATATATGCACGATGATTACATATGCTATACTAGTATATAATGATAGGTACTATAACTAGTATAATTTTGTTGTTCATTAAATTAGAGTAGGAAATAGTTTTGACACCTAAAAAATTTCATTTCCCCATTTAGAAATTCAAAGAATATAAATGAAAGGCCTTAGAAATAACATCTCAAGTTATATAACCAAGATCACCAGACTGGAAGTACAGAAAACTGAACAGGAACTGTCAAAATTCTTGTTTTAAAAAGCAAGCATTTCACTGTGCTTTAGAGCTTGACTAGAAAACAGAATTACAGTCTCCAAAATACCACCTAAACTTCGAAAAAACTAAATATTACTAAGCCATATGAAAAAAAAGTTAGACTTTTTCTAATTTTTTAAAATTTGGACTCTTAGAGTCTAATGCTTACAGCCAACAGTGGTGACTAGTTTTACCAGCCAGTCTTAAAATAAACAACAATCATAAAGAGTTAACATTTAAGCTGAACGCATTGGTGCACACCTGTAATCTTAGCTACCTCAGAGGCTGAGGCAGGAAGCTACTGTCTGAAGCCAGCCTGGGCAATTTAGCCAGACCTTGGAAGGAAAGGAGGGAGAGAAGGAGAAAGGGAGAAAGTGAGGGAAGGAAGAAGAGAGGGAGAGAGGTAGGAGGGGGGAGGGGGAAGGGAGAGCAGGAAGGAGGGAAAGGGATAACATTTGTTGGGCAATTATTACATGCTAACTAATCACAATGTTAGATACCTTACATGGCACTCAATTCTTCCAACAACCTATGTTTTTATCATCATTGCATAGATTAAGAAACTAAAGTTTAAAGAGGTAGAGACTTGCCCAAAGTCAGAGTCAAGGATTCAAACTGAGGTCTGTTGGGCCAAATCCAGACCCTGAACCACCACGTCTTCTGCCTCTGATACAATCTCATGCACTTAGGGGGCTTAGGCTGGGTCCTGCCATGTTAGATAAAGCAAGCAGGAAGGGTATCATACCACAATGGAAAGAACATTGGACAAATAATCAAAAGCACTATGTCCTATTCCTGGGTTTGGTATCTCCAGATTTATAACCTGGATGTGCTACTAGGCTTTTTTATATTTTAAACAACTTCCCACTTGTTAATGCAGCTCTATTTCAAAGTATTGCTTGTAAGATCAAATGGATGAGGTTTGTGCATGACCACCAACCATGACAAAACTGTAACGAAAAGGTATCTCACACACCTCTCCACACAAACTGTCTCACACACCCCTTCCCCTGTTACCTCAGAATCAGTATTATTGTCATTTACTTAAACTGTTTTTTTTTTTAACTTGAAAGTTTTTTAAACAGCATCTTCTGTTGTCCCCATTCGGTGAGAGGGTCACATGGAATAAGTAAAAGTTTTATACATTCAACAGTAACAACCACTGCTTCTTACAGTGTTGTGGCCTTCTCAGTGTCCCAAGAGGAAGAAGGCACAAAGCAGTCACCTCTATGGTATCCTATACAATCATTCATCTCTCATTGTTTGACACTGTACCAAGTCCAGAGTTCCAAGTCTTACAATAGTTGTGTGAGTCTAGTTGTACTAGTTTGTTGATCGTATGGCAAAACAATATAGATGAGCAT